AAAATTTGAGAGTTGGGGGCTTTTGATTTGAAGGTACATTAAAAATGAAAGTATTGTAAAAACTCTGGTTAGGGAGATAGTACCAAAACAATTAGCTTGTTTGGAATCAGAGCTACTGATAAGAGCATGGCAAAAGTATTTCATTCATTGTGTGCTAGTATTTGCGAGGAGGCATAAACAATGATATAATATGAATACAAAACAAGAGTGGTTGTTTGACTAGATAGGTAGTTATAAACAAACAAAACAAACAAACACAGTAATTCTAGGATATTCTCACTGGCATTAGCTTTTTGGATATCATAGGAAATTAAGATAAATGAAAACCAAGAAGATTCCTATGTATGAATAAAGGAGGGAGGAAAATGAAAGGAAGTCGCCAGTTGTAATCAGTAGTTGTGTCTGGTGCTGAATTTAATTATCCTTCCTAACTTTATTTTTGAGGTATGTTTGTTTACAAATTGTAGTGTGAAAGTGGTTGCTGTTGTCTATTGGAGCTGTTATCGGGTTTAATTGCTGTTACAGTTCTGACCTCTAGTGGATAATATGCAGTTTCCTTACAATGTTATGATACTAAATATTCTTCCTTTGTCAGCAGGCCAGTCTGTTTATCTGCTTCTTTAAGATGTTTAACTCTGTAACAGAGTTAAAGTTAGTGGTGAATGACATTTGTAAATTAAATTAAAATCTTGGCTTACTGTGTAACTTCTGTTCATGGCTGATGGAGTGCTAAGCTAGTACAGTAGACCTAATAGATATAAATAACAAATGAATTGATGATGCTGTGGATGGAAAATAAATTTGTAGATTCAGCAGTCTTTTCACACCTTTCAAGATGCACTACAAGAACAAATTTACATCTCCAGAATTCACGCATTTGTGAGGTGTTCAGAGGTAGCAGAATATGCAAAACAACAACCAAAACCACTTTGAAACTGGGAGAAAATGCACACAACCATGCTTTAGATAGTGGGGGGAAAACAAATTATATAAAAAGCTTTTAAAAGCTCATGCACCAACACTCACAAATCCATATTTAAAAACAACTCAGAAAATTAGATATTGAGAAGGCTTTAGACCAGCGATGGCTAACCTTTTTGAGCCCGAGTGCCCAAAAGGTGACACAAAATCAAATTATTAATTTTGAAGTGCCAACACTGCAATTAAATCTGAATACTGATGCTTTAGTTTAGAAAAAACAACTCATACAGTTGTCAGAATTAATCAACACCTTTTTCTTCAAAACATAACAGAACTTTCAATGACACACTTTTTATTGAAAAATAACCATTAACTCTAGTAAATGGAAACAAATATTAAAGTAATACAAGCCAGGTAATTTATACAAACTTTTAAAATAATTATATGCATGTATTTTTGATGAGGGATACTCAACTTGGCATGCTTTTGGACAACGTGATTTTTTGATGTTGTATGCATACAGATAAATTGTAAAACCTTGGCCCATATGCTGTTAGTTTGAGAGCAACACATGCAGCACCCAGACAACCCAGATAGTGTGGTTGCTGACCTTGAGCCAGACATCCGGGAGAGTGAAGTCAAGTGGGCCTTAGAAAGCCTGGCTAACAACAAGGCCAGTGGAGGTGATGGCATTCCCGTTGAACTATTTAAAATCTTAAAAGATGACGCTTTT